GAGAACTTCATGAATTATGCTCAGGTTTAGTCCCCCAACTCTAGGCACTTAACTTAGGTGTGTGTTGTCCTGTGCTGCATTCATAGTCCATGGAGAGAGAGAGGTGCTGGAGGATTTCAGAACAGAAACAGGCTGAATTCCTTTCTCAAAGTGTGGGGATTTTTCCATGGCTTAATCCTCAGGTTAATCTCCATATAGCCAAGAGAGAAGCAGGGTGAAGTTTCCTGTTGTTCCTAGACGGTGCTTCCAGCTGAGCAGTCTGTTTCTCTTGTGCTAGCTCCAGTTGGTGTGACTCCTCAGTGAGCGATTAAGTTGAAGTCAGAAATCCCACAAGAGTAGGCCTCATGGAGAAAAGAGAAAGAGGGGGTGAAAAGGGCTTCTGGAAGACTGTGTGTGGTCACTGGGAAGATGCAAACACATCCCTCAGCTCCAACACAAAATGGCACATTGAGATGCCTGTTAGGCTCTGTAAATACACTTGAAAGACCAACTCAGATACCTTCAAATTATTTCATCCATTAACCTAATTTCATGTTCTCTGAATGGGCTTGTACTGCAGAAGCGTTTTAAAATATAAAATAATGCATGATGCTGAAATAACATTTCAGAGTAGACTGGTTTTATTTTTATAAAAATTCAGGTTTTTTTCTTAACTTTTTAAAATGCAAATTTCTAATTTGTGAATCAAGAAGTTGCTATGTCATCACACTTTTTGTTTTCACTTTAATTACTATAGATTACACAGGGAGTTCTCATACCTTTCTATAAAACTATATAGTGTTTTCTTTTTATTCATATTGCTATTTATTCTAATCCAGTATTTTGTTAGACAGTAAGGGATGGAGGTAGCTGGTCTTGCTTAAGAGCAAATTGGTAGTTTTAAGTAATTTCTGGATTTAAGTGTTAATTGATGAAATGGAAGTGGGAATAATATGTGATCATGCAAAAGAATTTCAAGTGGTCATGTGAGTAGCTGAAGGTGTTAATTTTAGCTCCTTTACATAATTTCTTCCTGGAACATGGATTTGGTTTGTAATGGTTATTGCTAAAGGAAATGTTTTCTGTAGCTAAAACCATATGACGTGGTCCATGTAACAAGTGAATTTTAGACATTTTCACAATTTTGGTGCTGCTTTTCTTAGAAATATTGCTCTGTGAAAATGGGGATGGGATGGGGGGATGGTCTTACTGTTTTATTTTTGTCAGCTTTAATTCCTTTTATCTTCTTTCTAAGTCACTTGTCCATGACTTGACTTCTGGGCATCAGTCAGTTCCTTGGGTCTGATTTTTTTCTCTGACCCCAGAGGCTGGCTTGGTTCCTCTTCAGGCAGAGGGTAGGATGTTGCTTTTCTTCCGTATTCTTTCAAACACATCTTGTTCTTCCTTTCTGTGAGGTTTGGATACCTGTGCTGTCAGCACTTGTTCATGGGTGTGTTGGCCCTTACAGCATCACACTAAAACAGATGTGTCTTCATTGTAAGGTGAAGTAGTTGCTTCTTTTTGGGTGGTCAGAATTACCCGGGATGATTGGGTTTGCATTGCTGGTCTAGTTCAGAATGGCAAAACATCAGTCTGCTTGAGTAGATGGAAGGGATTTATATATGTAGAGGGACATAGGGGAGAAAGTAAGTATTAGGGCTTTTTATCTTATACATGGTTTACGTATTCCTCTAGTTCATCTTGTTCTGAAATTCCACAGTTTCATTGTAAAACATCCCAATTGAGAGTCAATATGTTGTAGAGCTTGTCTCCTACACCCTAAAAAATATTTGTGGAAACTGAATAGTTGGGCTATCTGTAAATGAGTTCATGTAATAAATGTTACAGGGGATGTTCAGCAGTGTTTTCTTTGCTTCAGAATAGATAAGCAGCATTTGGTGTAAAATAATGGTAATATTGGCTGATGCACATGAACTTGTTTTTATGTGATTTTGGATCATATTTCATAGAGCAATTCTTAAACATCATCTGAATCAAACTAATAAAGAGTTTTGTGCTACTTTCTTTTAGGCTGTCAGAGAAAAGGTCACTTCAATTTTCAAGTGTGTATGTGTTTTATATTTTTCCATAATTATATCTTTTCCTCCTCATTTTTCATTAAGAAATTATGTTTCACATGTGGAACTAATTCTACATATTTTTGTTCATCTCTGCTTTGAAAAGTCTTTAAGAGCTTGATTTTTGTCATTTTGGACTTTGAGTGAAATCTCATGCTTTTCTCCCTTTTTTAAACTGCTTGTTAAACAATATAATCAGCAGTGATATAAAAATGCACTATGCAATGTCATATTTTAGGCATTTACACTGGATTGAACTGTAATTAATTGCTGTTGCTGAATACACCATGGTCCTTATTCTCTTTTTGTACCCAGGCTTTTCTTTGTGTGTAATAATTCCATCTAGGAAGAAATCTAATTACTAAGATAATTAACACCTTATCAGCAAATGGAGTTCAGACATTTGTAGAGTTTATGAATTTTTAAAATATGTAATTTCCTTTTAACTGAATGACAACTGGTGTTATGGAGAAAAAGAGCATATTTTATTGTATCTAGCTTGATTGGACCTTATAATTCATGTTGCTATAGAAACAACCAGGCCTTTGTAAAGGATGGTATTACTACTACCATTGGTAATAAATGCTTTGACTGTTGCCAATAGTGTCATTAAAATGGATAAAATAACTTCATTATAATGGTTTTGTCAAATGTAATGAATGTTCTGTTCATGTTCTGAGAAATGGCAGCTGATGTTAGGTGGCATTGGTTTATAAAGTAATGTACTCTTTCTTCCATGAGCTTACAACTGCTGCACAAGGTATTTGTGTATGAACAAAATCATGTTTCAGAATGTGGTGCTGCTCTCTTCACTCAGTCCTTAAAGATAAGGAATTTTATTGTTACTTGATATCAAGCAGAAGTTCATATCTTGATGTTTGTCAGTCTTAAGAAAGCAGCAGTGACTGAGGGTGCTGAGCCATCAGCTTTGGGGATTTCTGCTCTGCTGCACAACATCCAGATTGTGCTTCCCACTTAGGGCTGTTGGATCAAGTCCTTGAAAATGTTCAGTTATATAGTGGTTTTGATTTGTTGTGCAGATGCCACCTTTTAACCTCAACTCAGATGATAGAGTCTGAATTTGTGAACTCAAAAGGGAATTGATAGAATTTGGTTTCTTTGCTGGGGATTTTTCATAAGAAAAAGGTGAAATAAGATTCTATATCAATTCCTGTGCTGTTACCTATATGTCCAGGCACAGTCTAAAAGGAGGCCAAGGCATTAATGTAAGCTCATTGCCAATACTTGAAGAAAAAAAAAAAATTAAGTTTGGGGGGGAAAAATCACAAATATATTCATTACCATGTACAATTTGTCTGAAGGTTGTTGTGGTAGATATAAGCTATGGTCTAATATTGTACCTAATAAAATTAATAAGAATGGTATTCTCTCCTTTCCTCTTTTGGGGTCTTTTGCCAACAGGCTTTCCTTTTCCAGTATAACTCATTGTTTCAGAAAGTTTTTCTTTCAGTTATTCAAAATCAAGTTTCTTCACTCACTATAATCACAGCATCATTTTTTTCTGTGGTGATGTATGTCTAATATGAAATAATAGTTTTCTTTGGCTATCTGAATGCTTTATAAATGTAATTTGGGATACATACACTGACATTCACAGTTCTGCATTGTCTTAACTGGATGAGGGGAAGAGAAACCTTCCATCCATTTCTTTAGGTTAGAGACAGTCTTGGAGACCCCTTGTTAACCACCAGTGTGAACTTTGCTTGTGATAGTTGTCTTTATACCATTCACCCCTAAAACAATCTCTTTCAGCTGTTCCCTTGCCTGTGGCCTATATAAGAGCTGTAGTATTATTTAGATTGGAAGGAACCTCTGGAAGACATCTCATCTACTCCCCCTCCTTGAAACAGGGCCAGTTCCAAGTTAGATACCACCAATATTTGTGTAGAATTCTTACTTTTCCCCAACATTTCTGCAGTTTATCATGTTACTGGCAGCATGGAGTGACCTCTGCATTGTGGAAACAGTCTCATCTGTGTCAAGAGGGAGCACTGAGTAGTATGTGTTTCTGCCTCTCTCTAGAGGATGCTTATCATTATTCCCACTCTACACAAAGCTCAGTCTGGGTGCAAGCCTTGATGGCTTCTCCAGTATCTACTGGGGAAGGTGTTCATGCCATGTTCCCACCATGTCCAAGATGGTGATAGTGGCACAATTTCAACTCAAGCCCCCTAACTTCACCCTCTTATGCATCTTTCTGTGTCTGTGGGCTGTCTCTGTCAGCTGCCTTAACCTGATGTGTGTGAGGGATCTGCATATTTAGTCCAAGGGGAATGGTTAGGAAATGTTGACCTTGCTTAAATAACGAGAGAACTCACTGCCTGTGCATTTGTGAACTTAAGTATTTTGTTTTCATTTTTTGCTTTAAAGCAAGGCATAGGCTGATGTTTTAGAACACTGAGTTAAAAATTAACTTGTGACTAAAGATGTATTTTTGGCTCCTAAGCCAATTGTGTTCAAATTTGCTAGGTGATATGACATGCCAGACCCCTCTTTCAGACACCCTGTTCTACTTTGATAGCAGCCTTATAAAACATTAAATAGTTGACATTTTCTAGTGACTGAGTCTCAAAAGGTTTACATTTTATAGATTAAGCAATCAGAATTCAAGAAATAACAAGATGTGCTGATTACCTCTAATTTTGATTGAAGGAAGAATTGATCCAGATGTTTTCACTCTTCTGTCACAATCCTAATCCAGTATTTGCTGCAGTATCTATTACTTGTGCTCTCAGCTGAGCACCAGATCCATTTCTCATTACCGAGCAATGCTGTTAAAATCTTTTTTTTAACACCAAGATACTTGTAGGTCTCAATTTCTGTAGATAAAGTTGAAAGTTATATGTCTATGTACACTAGCTTTTAAGGGAGCAAGACTTCTACATGTCCTCAATTAAGTGCTTCTTTCTACTTCCTTTACAGAGTGCCTGGAATAACAATTGCTACAGACATCATTTGTGGTTTTCCAGGAGAGACAGATGAAGATTTTCAAGAAACTATGAAACTTGTAGAACTGTACAGGTTTCCAAGCTTGTTTATTAATCAGTTCTACCCACGTCCAGGAACCCCAGCTGCAAAAATGCCTCAAGTTCCAGCTGCAGTGGTAAGATCCATTTTCAGATGGCTTTAATACATCAAGCATGTGCACAAAAATGTGTATTTTCTGCAGAACTGTGCCACATTCAAATGAAGGATTTTTTCAGTCCAGTAAGGGAAATGATGCTAGGCTAGACCACTGGAAGTGTTTTCATATATAAATGACTGTTCAGATTGTGAGGAAGGGTAATACAGTGGTTATAGTGGAGATCTTGTCTGCTTTCTGTCAAGTTTGGGGTGAATGACTACCAAGAGTAGTAGCTGATTGTTTACACATAGTAATTTTTTTTTCCATTTTAAGATTTCTGTGACTCCAGCATTCTCAAGCTTATTGTGAATAATTATGCAAAGAATTAATAACAGTGATTAATAACTCTGATTTATTTGTCAAATATTAAATTCACAGGCCACATCTTCTTGAGACTGTCCTTATGCACTGTTCATTTACTTCCTTCAGCCTGAAGGTTAAAGGCCATTAATAAAATTGCATCTAATCCTTCCTTCCTTCCTTCCTTCCTTCCTTCCTTCCTTCCTGCCTGCCTGCCTGCCTGCCTGCCTGCCTGCCTGCCTGCCTGCCTCTTCCAAAAATCTCATCTTAAATTCCAAACTGTTTTTATAAAGAAGGTACATGGCTATTGATTGTATTTTGCTCTATATAAATACCTATTTATAAGCAATAATGATAGCAATCATATCAGAAGGCATGGTTTGATTTATTTCAAAAAAATTGAATTTGTTATTTTTGTAATCTGAATCTCAAAACAGGAAAGTATACAAGATTGATGCCTGTAGTAATTCAACTCATTACTGTATCGTTTTTGTGAGCATAAATAACATTTATATTTCCTTTCAAAGTAAGAATGAAAGTCAACCAGCAATGTAAATAAATTTAAATGAAAAATCTATTTCTTTCAATTTATGTATCTTGGTACACCAACAGAAAGTCAAAACAATATATTGGAACTTGTATTCCTTTGCTTATGTGTGTGAAAGCTAAACAAAGTATCTCTGTTTACTCTCAGTGTATACTATGAATTCCATAGAATGTGTCAGCTGCTTGGAAACATAAAATAAGATTATATCTGGCTTCTTCAGTTTGCTGTTTAGTGTAGTGCAGCTTGAGCAATTGATTCCTTTATTATAGATTATCTCATAATGGGAAATTGTACACTTTCAAATATAAATGCCTGCTGTTGAAGTAGTCTCTTTACTGTAACCGACTCACTATTTGTCTTAGTCTTAAATGCTTTTTAGATATTTTGATGCATGAAAAAAGGTTCAGAAATGTAATTTTTGGAAGGTAGGAAGTTTAAAAATCAAAACATTGGTTTGTGTTTCAGGTTTGTGTTCCTGTGCACAAGTTCTTAAGAATGCCATTTTCACAGGACGTGCAGAGAGCTTAAGTTAATTTACTCACTTCTGCTTAACTGGGTACTTAAGGGAAGACAATCTGTGAAGAGATAAATTATTAAAAGAATATTAGCTTTTCTGTAGTTAGAAGTATTACTTGAAAATGGTAATTGTCCATTTAACCCAGTTTTACATTCTTTATTCTTATTTGTAGCACTAGTACTTATTGCTTTCAGTGAAATAGAACCTTCAAAGAAGATGGGGCCTCTAATCCAGGGCTGATGAAAATCTGTAATTAATAGATTTTGTTTCTCTTTTTTCTTTTTTTTTTCCCTGTAGTCCTTCAAAAATCCTGTGTTATGAGATCCTTTGTTCTTTTATCTCTTAGTAGAAATGGAGAGCAACTAGTCAAACAGAGCAGGAAGAGCTTGTGCTAATCTCCTATGTTTTATATTCACATTACTTCTAGACAGCAGCTGACGGTCCTTCCTGCATAACCAGAAATGGACAGGCATTTTATTTGTTATACCTTGCTTAGAGTAACTTATATTTCTCTGCTAGGAAAAGGAAGTAGGACACAACCATCCACTCTGACCCTTTCATCTTTAAATGAAATATTATCCACGTTAATGAATGCATTTTATTGCATTTGCATTGGGTAAGAAATAGCACATGCACTGCCATACAGCTGGTCTGTGCAAGTGCCTCAGCGTGCACTGGATCACCAGTCTGCACTTGGGAGCTTGGTGCTTCCACGAGATGTTCATAGCAGTATCCACTGCAGTGGATCTGTTGGTAGGATTTCTTTATGGGAAAATAATTTTGTCTGTACAGATATTTTTAAAATATCTGTTTAAAAAAAATGTTGAATAAGTGAGCAAGTTATTTGACAACTCTTATTCTTCTTTTCTTCTTTGTTACTTTTTTTCTGAAGGCTGAATATATTTGCTATGTTATTTCGGTTTTTAAATACTTCTGCAGTGGACAAATCCATTGCTAGTTGCAAACTGCTCCACTTTAGTGAGTTCCTCTTCAGCAACTCTGACTCAAGATGGCTTTGGTCGTTCTGCCCAAGTATCACAGCTGCAATAATAACATACTTGTCATGTGAGTTCCTTTTAGATTAGCTTTTTTGAGAAGATTTTACCACTTGTAGAGACAATCTGTAGAGTATGAAGCATAGTAATAGTTAGTACTTTTATAATTTTAGTGGATGGTTTTGATGATGATCTTAAATATAATTGCCTTTGGAAGAAAATCCTCATTTGATATTATCTGAATAGAAAAAACAATCAGTAGGTCAACATGGAATCATCCCGTCACATAGATAATTTATCACTGAAAGAAAGCCTTAAGGCACCGATATTTTGCTAAAAGGGCAGATGACACTAATCCAGATGGACAGTTCTGCCACCATAAATTCAGAAAAGACAGCTAAGGCTGCAGGCCTTTCTTATTTCTCCTGGAGAAAAAATGTCCATGGAGAATCAGACATCTGTCTGAATGGTCTCGTCATTTCATAACCATCAATTAGATTATGCTTACCACTAATACTCTTTCCAGTTTAGAGAAAAGTTAAAACAAACCTAGGCATGATTTTTTTAAAAAAGCAGTTATGGTAATCCTGAGTCATGCACATGGAAAATGAGCCAAGTTGTTGTCCAGAACTTAAATGCTACCCTTTTTTTTTTTTTTCTTTCCTTTGCCCCCATTTCATCCACCTTCTGCTAAATGCACTGTTTCAGAGATGAGTCTGGATGCTCCTTATGTCCAGTGGGTTGAAAATTCTCACTCTGAAATGTGTTAACGATGAAATGCTATTTTGTGTATTGTTACTGCTGCTATTGTTGTTATGTATCTGAATTTCTCAATTTCCTTGCTGCTTGTAAAAGTGGTGGTGCTGATAACTGCATAACTCAAATTACAGATTCTAGCTGAACTAGTAGTAAGAGTCATGTAAGAGAACATTACTTGGATGTGTCTGGTAGGGAACTCATGTTTAGTTGCATTGCAAAGGATCAGAATAATTCTAAGTGTGAAGGTTACTTTTTTTTTCTCTAAAATTAAGAGCATGCAATACCTTACATTTTGGATTCTCTGGTCTTTATTTTTTAAAGATAGCTATTACTCATGTGGGGACTTGCAAGGTTCTTTTTTCTGTCCAACAGATTTGGTCCATCACAATTACTGAAACATTAGGGGAGATTATAATCTCAGGACAGCTTGACTTTTGTCACTTGGTAAATACATGATGAAGTAGCCATTTTGAAAATAAGGATCTTAACAAGGTACAATTAGATTCTAGGTTCATCTCTACTGAGAATAGAAAATGGTAGCTGTTTTGAGAGCAGTAATGTGACTGCAGTTTCATGATAACACTGCTATCAACTGCAGTGTGGATTCTAATTTTTCTGTATGTTTTTTCAATAGTGTAAGAAATTCGGTTTCAATTATATATTCACTTTCTCTTTCCTTCTTTCTTTCTTTATATCACCAGATAATTACATTGCTTCGAGCTAGAAAATTTTGTCATTCAACTATTGAACATTTCCTTTAATTCCTCTGAAGTGTCTTATTAATTTTTTCTCTCTGTATTAGTTGTATTAAGCACTATTCTTACTATATTGAGGTGGATAACTGATTTACAGACTTCATAACTGTCCTGGTTTTGGCTGGAATAGAGTTAATTTTATTCCTAGTAGCTGGTATGGTGCTGTGTTTTGGATTTAATGAGAATCATGTAGATATCACTACATGATATTTCTCGTTGTTGTTAAGTAGTGTTTATACCAAGTCAAGAACTTCTCAGCTTCTCATGCCCTGCCAGCAAGAAGGCTGGCAGGGTACAAGAAGCTGGGAGGCTGGACAGCTGGGACAGTTGCCCCAAGCTGGCCAAAGGAGTATTCCATACCATGTGGCATCATGCTGAGTATACAGAGCTGACCAGAGGCAGCTGCTACAGCTGCTTGGTCACCCTGAAGACTTAGAAAACTCACACACTGTTAGTACACTCACCATTATTAGGAGAAATAAATATCAGTGATCAGATCTTGTATCCCACTCCATTTAATCAAACCATCACTTAGATCTGTTCTCATATCTCCCAATTACAGGAATTGTACATAATGCACTAGGAGATTTTTTCCATAAGGATAGCATAATACAATATACAGCTCAGTGCTGTCTGCCAGACAAGTTGCTTTTGATCATCTCTGCGGGAACAGAAATTTTGAGGCCTTTGTTCTATAATGGCTACTTATTTTTCTTAGACTACTTTGCTTTTACTTCCTTCTAGGAGGTCTCCAAGAAGTTTCATGACACCCTTTCATGACTGAGTGACTGCAGATCCACCATGTCTCTCTTTGATTAGAATTCTTCAAGACACTAGAAATAGGCATTCTTAAGTGCCAGTAGATACAGCGTGGTGTTTACCTCTTTTGCTGGATGGATGGATATAGGTTTTTTAGTTCTGAATCTCTGCACACAAACTGCTGAATCTTCTGTGGAAGCTCATGTGCTCTTACCTATTTAAAAGACATGATTTTCCAAATGTTGCCAAACTGCCCTCTCAGCGTCACTGAAAAATAACCACTCACTCCTGCATCAGGCAATATTAGCTGTCCTCTGCTTCAGCATTTTTTAATTTCAGGTATCTGG